GTAAGATTTTTTTTTTTTTAATTTGGTTTTTACATGGGAGTTGGGTGGACAGACACTTACTTAAAGGGTAGGAAAGACATTTCTGTAATGGATAAATCAATTCTTGTTTTGACATTATTGGCACTTTTAAAATGTTGCATCAATGAAAATAGCAAGCACAATTACTGATGTCCTGACCCTCTTGTTTTTTGTTTTAATCTGGTGTCATACCAGGTAGGAATTATTTCCAGGCAATATTTTACCTGGGGGGGGGGGCACACACGCATTGTTTCCTCTCTTTGTTCCAAATTTGTCCTGTGGCAGCCTAGCATTAGTCACCAACCCCTCCATATTTGTTGTAAGAAAGATGTGTCAGGCTTGTCTGCTCCTGAGAGCAATAGATCCTGGGCTGTTCTGTTCTAGGACATCACCTCCAGGTATCAGCTGCACAGGCATGAAATATTAAGAGCCCCGATAAAAGGTTACACAGATTCCATTTGCAGCAGTTTTCCTTCTGAGATGTCTATGAGAGACAGGCACAGCCAATGCCAAAAGATTTTTCTAAACTGAGGCAATTTGCCAACAGCAAAGCTGAAAATATGACAGTCTTTATCATTCCACTGCTTTCCATTACATGTTCAGTAAGTACAAGAAACAAGCTTTTGTAAGAAACGGTCAGCCATCAAGAACCTCTTTTAAAAACCAATGTTCTTTAAAAGGATGGCTTTTAGTTTTGCTCAGGAAGGAATAGGTGGGGAGAACCTGAAATAGGTGATGTTTCAGAGAATTGGACTTTAATGGGGCACTGAACTTTAGCAGGCACAAACGCAAAGTGAATTATGTCCTGCAAGAAAAGTGTTTGTGAAAAACTGAAATGGTAGAATTATGCCTATTATCTGCAAAACTGAAACAAAATTAATGCAGACAGCAGGTGTTATTATTTATATAATACAATCAGCGTGCATGCTTCTTTTTAAGATACTTAAGAACAAGTTGCTGTCCCAGGAACCTTAAGGTATAGGAGATATAAGTCAGTACGTAAGAAAACTACATTTATTTCCCTTAAATATACTTAAAGCTTTAGAATAATTGCAGGGGGAAGAGGGGATCCTGCCAAAGGCTTCAGAATCTACTTGTATTAGTTTAACATTGAGCAGAAATTGTTTTTAAAACCAAACAGACTTGAAATTTGCCTCTTAACTACAAACAAGATAAATAAAACTAGGAATACTTAGAGTATTGAGAAGGTTTCTTAAAAGGTGATTTAAATTTTGGCTTGGGAAATATTTTACATCAAAATATGCTAACAATATATCATTAAAAATATCGCAGTCATCAACCAACCTAACCAACATTAGAAGCAAGATACTCCTCCAGTTTACATGGCATCTTATACATGAAAGGCTCTGCAAAAGGCTATTATCTTAATTAAGAGCCTTCCTGAACGTTAATAGAGAGGGAGCCATGCTCATCTCAGGGCACAAGCTGCTTCAGAATGAAGGGGCCACAATCAAGAAGGCCATCTTCTGCACCCCTGTGATGCTCTTTCAGCTCTCCAGTATTAGATGGGCAGATTCTACTCAGAGTAGTTCCACATACAACCAGAACCAAGCTATAAGGGGCTTTATAGGTGGGGCCCAGAAGCAATATGGCTCTCAACTATCAGGAAGTACAGCTGCATTTTGCGCCACCTGTACCCATTCAGTCATCTTCAAGGACATCCCTGTGTATAATAAATCCCTATAGTCTAAACAGAGAAGTTAAAGTCATGAGTTACTGTTGCTAGAGCCCCTTGGTCCAGAAAAGACTGCAGTTGGCCCAATTTTCCTGGTCATGGCACCCAATTCAGAATCTTCTTCTCCCTCAGGAGGAATGCGTTCCCATCAAGAACCATTGATGGAACTAAACTGTACAGATTTAGCAGCATTCAAACCCAGTCAATCCAATCTGGAGCCAGAGGACAAACTCTTGCTGTGAGTCAGTGCCTAGAAGCTCTAAGGAATTCAGTCCCTCAGATCCTCCAGGTACTGGCTAGGACTTGTATCTCCTGCTTGATCTGAGGATATACAACTGTGTATTATTAGCATACCAACAATGCATTGTTCCAAACCAGCAAACGACTAGCAGTCTCATGAAGATGTTAAAGAGAATAGGGGACAATGCAAGCCTTATGATGGGTTCCAGGGCTTGCTGTCTCCCCTACAACACTCACTATACTTCCTCTCACACCAGCAACTGGAATTGACCACTCAGGAAAAATGGAAATACACTGCAAAACAGGGTCTATGACTCTAACCTTTATAGGTAGTCTAGATTACTTTAGTCAATATAGTGAATGCTGCTGAGAGACTCAGCAGTCCTAGAAGGACCATAATCCCTCCCATGCAGGTCCTACAACAGGAATCCACAAGAGCAACCAAAGTGATTTCTGTCTCATGCCCAGGCCTGCATCAAACTAAAAGGGATCTAGATAATCTACTTCATCTAAGGTACATTAAGGTTGGTGCCCTACCACCATCTCTATAGCCCCCCCCCCCAAAAGGAGGGTTGGAAATGGGGTAGAGGTTTTCCAGAATGGCTGAACTGAGGGATACTCTTGAGACACTATCCCATCTGTCAAAAAGCATTAATAACTTCCTGAACCCAGCACTGTATCCCCTCCCAGGAAGCACAAATCAACCAGGAGGAGCAAGGATCCAAGGATGTGTGGTGAAACCTATCACAAAGAGAACTCTGTCCACTTCTTTGGAGTCCAAGGTTCACATAAATCCCATATGATTTTGCAAGTCATCACCCCTTTTAGTTCGTAAGAGTCTGCCCAGATGGCATCTAGCTCCAAGGAGGTAAGAGCAATTTTGTCCATGGATGCCTAGCAAAAAGGTCACAATAGCCCAAAGGTAGTCTAACCTATTATTCCCCAACAAGGTGGAGAAGGAGTACTGCTGGATGATATTCCATCAAGACAGTAAGGGCAGAGAAGCCACAGTGGTGAAGTGAACCTAGGCAGTATTTGCTCCTTGATTTTTGCTAGCATTGCTCTGGGCATTTCTGTCATTTCACCTCCTGGAGCTCCTTATGAAGCCATGGAGAAATCATGAATTAACAACAGATGCCATTTAGGGGCAACTTCATCCAAAACACTTTTTCTTCTAATATAATTCTGTTGAGCAGTTGAAAGAGAAAAAATGCCACCACTACCAAGACAGAAAGGGGAGTCTCACTGAGCACCATGGCAGTTACCTTTTGGGCTGAGCTGGCCAAACATTTCTTCCCCTTTAAAAATATCTCCTATCACAAGTATTTAAGATGGAATATGTTGGTGGAGAGAGGTTTGCAGTGAGGCAAAAGCAGATGACAACAGCCACGTGTTTAACATAACTTCCTTACTCTCTTCAGCATGCAACTACACACGCATAACACTTTTATTGAACCAGCATTATTGCACTCCCATTATAATGGACACTTCATGCTTTTATCAGTCCCACAATACTCAGTAGTTTTCACTGCAATTTTTCAAAAGCATTACTCAATTGTCTGAATTTTGGAAGCTAGTTCAACTTCCCGGCCCCTGCCTGGAAAAAGTAACTTACAATGGAGCAATCAGTACCGTAAAGGAACATTTTTAAATTGCTTTATCTTGGTTAAAATCTCTTCCAATTTATTCTATATCTGGACATCCACTCAATATGAAGTAAGTTTCAGGGTGTAGTCATGTTAGACTTTATAAATGATATTAGTGTTTAAGTATCATAATACCAGAAGGTATAAAATCCTGTTTATCTTAATCTAATAGTTTTCCTTTTTTTTTTTTTTTTATCATCATGTTTTGTGAAGATGTAAGAAGCTCAACGCATCACCAAGCAAGATTCATGTCTCCAAACCAAACCCGTAACCCTATAGGAATGGGATACACAGACAGCCTGGCCCCAAAAAGAGACAGCATGCACTCATACCCAGAGGAATATATTGATGGGGCCAATGCAGTTCACAGCTGAGTTTACCTGAGTAGTAAAGAGTATTTGGTAGTGATGGTGGTATCATCTTCTTTTATACTCTTTCAATACTCTGTTAAATAATTGGAACTATTAAACTCCATAAACAAAAAAAGGAGTTCTTTAAGGAAGCTAAAAAAATGATAGAAGCCCACAATTATGAAAGACATACCTTTGTAGCAGCTAATGAGTTGGAAGACAAATCTTTATAGCTTCATATTCAATTGAGAATTCATGGCTTTCAAATTCTTAAAATGCCATGAATTGTGAAGAATAGCAAGTGTATTGCTTTCTACAGCCTCTGAATATGTAACAAGGGCATAACCATTTCAGCATATAGGAGCCTGCACTAATGGCAATTCATTGAAGCATTACCTGAAAAGTAATAGGATTACAACTTATACAGCAATTGAGGTTATAATATAATTAAATGCTACAGCATCTCATTAATGGCTGCAAGTCTACTGCATATGTATACCAGTAGCAAAGAGTTTTAAGCTCCTGTGCCCACCCCCCCAAAAAACACCACCTTCTAAGAAAGTTGCATACTTGAGACTTTATAGCAATCATACACATGGCTAATAAAAAATTAATTCCACCGAGTTAATGGGGTTCCCTCCAATGTAAGTGGTTACAGGATTGAAACCTAGGCTGCATTTACTACTTTCCTTCAAGGTAATTTTAATGAGATTTCATTCATTCATTCATTCACTCTTGATTACATAAAACTAATTTCATTCATTTGATTTGGTAGTGTAATATAAAGTGCCAAAACCGATCAGTCCTGAAATGGGAAATTTCATCATAAATATGTAGCTACCTTCAGAGATGCAAAGTGCATTTTAAAAATGTCTGATCTTCATAATTATACCAGGCCTCCTAAACACCATTATCTATATTAATGGGTATCCCTGCTTTTTATGTAACCAGTTAATTGATGTTTCTGGTTTTTGTCTTCAGGTTTCACATAGAAAACTTTCTTATATATAAAGAGGAATCATGGTTGGAACCTTAGAATTAGGTGTAAAACTACTCATTTTTAATTATACAGGTTTTAATGTGTAAATTTAACAACATGCATTTAAAATCTTGTTTCCTTTTCAAACAGGCCTTATTGCTTGAAATCACACCAAGAAGATTTTGCATTTTAGGAGGAATTCATAAAGCAATCATGAATTGTTTATGATACAATACATCTTACAGTAATGACCTAAACTGCACTAGAAATATTTGCAATTCTCTACATTTCAAAATCAGTTCTATTAAGAAAAAAGACTTGGAGTTAAAACAGAATGAAACAGGGTAATACTGTATGATGGAAAGCTTACAACTCTAGCATTTGCCCATGGAAACAGAAATGTGATTTGAACCATTTTATTACTCAACCTTGCAAAATATTTTGTGCTTCCCATGTTACAAGAAATAGCTGTTTTTCAAAACTTTTGGCATTACAATACTGTTCCACACTTTCTATTTAGTGTAGAACACAAGTCCACGTTTACAATTATCTTCACAGGGCACTGCTTCGTAATATAGGAAGATAATGGGAAGTAGGCTAAAAAGTGATAAAATTATTTAATCTTCAGCAAAATAATCCTCAAGTCCCTCCAGTTCCATCTCTTCTGTTGTACTTAAAGAGGGAGTAGTAGATATATCTGTGCTTGTCTGGCTGCTGGGTTTCAGATGGGAGCTTTCAAGCTGCCTTTCATCTTTTTTTATTTCTTTGGTGCCACCAAGTAGCTGCTGACTTTCCACAAAGTACTGATTTGGGTGGCTCAGAGTAAAACCAATTTCTTTGACCTGTATAGAAAAAAAAAAGAAAAAGAAAAGAACATGCTACATTATTGTATTCTATAAAGTTTTAGGGTAGAATTCAATTAGCTTGAATGGAAGAACAGAGTTTTCAGCATCTTCTCTTTCCTGTGCCCTCCCCACAATTTTTTTTTTTTTAAAAGATATCTAGAATCTAAAAATCTACATATATACAGGGGTTATAAAAATTTAAGTGTATTCTTTCTTCTATTATTTTTAATGGTAATTTCTGCCAAACATCTATTCTTGAAAACCATATGTAAGTTTTCTTTAGAATGCACACTAACTTTACACTTTGTTCAAATGTTGCAATAATTCCTTTGAAAGGACAGTTTGGCTAAATACTCTAGCTGGATTTAACTATATTCTTCTGCCAGTGTAATAGACCTATCTGCAGTTCTGAGACTTTCCTGAGCAGTATTGGGGTATGTATCAGGAAAACAGAGAGAAAGAGTATATCTTGTTGCATTAATGAACTATGTTTTTCTGGCCTCCTTGAAACAGTGATTTCTTAAAGCTAAGAAGCAAAGCATATTTTGAGACTTGGTTACCCATGTTTTACTGCAAATCAGAATAAAACTAAAGATTAAAATGGCAAATAAACATACAGGCTATAGTGCAAAGGTGCAGGCACTAATTTCTTCCTTTTTTATTTTTACAGATTATTTGATCAGGTGTATAAGCAGCAGCAACAAAGCTAAATCACATTTCCTGATTACATATTGTGGCACAGCAAAACTATGTTCTGACTTCTCAAAGGACAGCTTGTTAAGAGACTGGTTTGCTGGTTCTTAATTTACAGTCCTATATGATTTTGAAAGAAGATGCCTCCTTTCTCACTAGAAGAAGCAGCTGAAAAACAAGGTTCCTGTGTCCTATAAAAAGGATTGGAAAGGAGGAAATTCCTTGGCTACTAATAATATTGAAGATTTTTGTCAGTTCTTTCCTGGTATTGCTTTTGGCAATTTTGTAAATACATGTGTACGCACTTTTTGTTTTCACTGTGAGAACAAACCAAACCCTTTGGATTTATAATTTCCAGCTGATTCTGAATCCTGCGTAACAATAGGCAACCTATCACACAGATGCACAAATAAATCCAAGATGGCCTCTCCGCTGCCTTAAGAATGTCCAACTGCCAATTTTCTACTTCTGGGGAGATACAAACACCTTAACACGTCATGGTTGAGAGCCTCCAAAATCAGAGTCTGTTACTACTAAATTCTTACAGTGTTGTTCATCAAGAAGAAAACCCTAGTTATTTTAAATCAAGGACATTACTCTCTTTGCTAGACATACTTTCAAAAATAAATTTATGTTATTACTTGTTTATAAACAACATTACAAAGTTTTAAATTAAAGAGAATGGATAAGAACTAAAAATTAGCCCTACAGTATCAGGCCAAGGCCCCTCTTAGTCCAGCATTTTGTTTCTCACAGTGGCCAACCAGATGCCTCCTGGTATTCATTTATTCAGTTTTTATCCTGCCTTTATTTTTGGTCAACCCAAGGTAGCATACATATTTAGTGCTCTTGCCTGCTATTCCCCCCCCCACACACACACACACACAGACAAAAAACAAAAACCTGTGAGGAGGGTTGGGCTGAGAGAGTGACTATCCAAAGTCACTCAGCAACATTTATGCTTAAGAGAGAACTAGAACTCACAGTCTCTTGGTTTCTAGCCCAGAATCTTAGCCACTACATCAAGATCGCTTTCTTTACATAAGTAGGAGGTGGAGACCTACTCATCTCCAGTTATTGCTCTCTTGCAATGAATATTTGGAGGCATTCTACCCTCAACCCAAAGGTAACACTGTATATTCAAGACTTACAGACTTGGATAAACCTGGACTCTATTCATTTATCCATGATGAACCTGTGTGATCTTACGGCTTTAATCAAGTTGCAAAATGGCAGGTGATAATAAGGCAAGCTGTTATTACAAAAAGGCCATATGGAATTATTTCTTATTTATATATTTTCTCAAGCATATCTATTTAACTTATTTATTGAATTTGTCACTGCCCATCTCGTTAAATGACTCTGGGCAGTTTACAAAACAATTAAAATCAATTAAAACTACAAAATTACAATAATAAATACAAAATAAAACGATCCAAAAGAATTGGTGATGACTCAGGGAGTGTCATCGAGGTGCTAGCCACCCCCAGGATTGGGTAGAGTTGTTATCCCCCCACGCAAGCTGGCAGAGCCAGGTCTTCAATTTTTTCTGGAAGGCCTGGTAGGGTAGGGGCCTGCCACCCCTTTGGGGGGAGAATGTTCCAAAGGGCAGGAGCAATGGCAGAGAAGGCTCTCCTCCTGGGCCCTGCCAATTGACATTCTCTCACTGATGGGACCTGCAACATGTCCTCTCTGCCTGACCAGGTGGGAAGGGTTGATATGACGGGGGTAAAACTGTCCCTCAGGTAACCTGGACCCATGCCATGTAGGGCTTTAAAGGTGATAGCCAACACTTTGAATTGGACCCGGAAGTAGACTGGGACCCAATGCAGCTCACGTAGTAAAGGTGTTATATGCGCCATTCTTGGGGCACTCAAAATTATCCATGTGGACACATTTTGGACCAGCTGTAGCTTCCAGATACTCTTCAAAGGTAGCCCCATGTAGAGTACATTGCAATAGTCTAATCAAGAGATGACCACGGCATGAGTGACTGACCAGAGAGCCTCCTGATCCAGGAAGGGGCCTAATGGGTATACCACATGAAGGTGGGCAAAGGCTCTCCTGGCCACAACTGCCACCTGCTCCTTGAGCAGGAGTCGTGAATCCAGGAGGACCCCCAGATTACGCACCGGGTCCATCCGGAGCACTCTAAAACCAAAGATGGTAAATCCTTGGATACAGAGGGGCCTCTAATCCATAGCCACTCCGTCTTATCAGGGTTCAGCTGAAGCCTGCTGCACCCCATCCAGACCCCCACAGCCTCCAGGCACTGCAAAAGGGTGGTCACGCCATCACTCACCTCACCCGGGATGGAGATGTATAATTCAGTATCATCAGCATGACCTCATCCCATGGTGACGGATGATCTCACCCAGTGGTTTCATGTAGATGTTAAAAAGAAGTGGAGAGAGTACTGAAC